TCTTACTATATACTGAAATTTTTTGGGCCAAGAACACATACACATAGTTTATATGGTTTGAGATAGTCTTTAGGTCTATACTCTAACACAGAATAGTATAATTACTTTAACAGTATATAGTATTACCTTGGTTGTTGCTGTTCTGCTTCTACTTCGAACCAATTGTGGTTGAAGATGTAATTTTCTTCATGTGTTCGTCGGGAGATGAATTGGCTAAATTCCAATTTTGTTTAGGTGGTGCTTCAGAGAGAATAAGAATATCTCTGTGTTGATTATATAGTAGTAGAGCATTCCCATCCAAGATTGGTAGACAACATTGGAAAATGGTGATTATAATTCAAGTTGGAATACTAAAAGTTTTAGTTGTGCTACTTAATGCATAGTGATATCAATATACGTGCTAGTTGCATATTATTACTATTTCCTTCTCATAATTACATTGATTTATCAAATTAGTCTGAAATATAATAAGGTTCCTGATTAAGCTACTATGCTGTTTTACAGGTAGCCTGAATATGAAAAGAGTTGTGGTTGTGAACATGTTGTGACATGTTTTAACTAAGTAAGTACCAATGTTATCCAGTTTGGTACTTACAGTTGCTTAGCAAGGCTCAAAGATAAGTTTTAAGTCGCTAAATAGTGTAGAATCTACTTTGATATACATTGTTAGTTACCCAGAATAATATTATTTCATTGTTTCTAAAATATATTGTTTTTATACTCCCTTGATCTAGATAATTAGCTTGTGGAATCTGTATGACAATCTGTATAGTTCTTAAAGCATTTGAGGAGGCTTCTTAAGTACAAAGTTGGTGTCAACACATCGTAAGTGCCTAATCAGCACTAAGTCCCTAATCATGTACTTTCTAATCCCGTGCTTATTATAAGCATCATTTGCCTGCCAGTCGTATCTTAATTTAATAATTGTTGACTAAACTGCAGGCAAGCTGCTACACAATCTATGATGGTTCAAAGGATTTTGAAGAGAGCTTATATTGTAAATTGTTGTCAACATGTCTGTGGTCCTAATGACATCTAATTATGCACATTGTGAATTTCAGTTGTACTTGCATTATCAAAGATAAGTTTTAATTCCATAATTAGCTATCACTATACTTCGTTACACGTGTGTTCGCTACTCATGTACTATATATAATATTTCAGGTTCGCATTTTGATCTGCATTATCCTATGATTGCTGAACTCACCTGAATTCGCATTGTCTTTTTACTTAATAGAGTAGTAGTCTTCTCATGTTTAGAAATTCAAGTTTACTGAAAATATTAAGCAGCTCAACATGTGCTTTGATTTTTTTTTTTTTTTTGTTATGTTACACTTATTGAAATACCTCTATGATTAAGTTATATTACAGTTTTACTCACAATTGTGTTTTTGACTCCATTCTAAAGTAGAATGAAGTGTGTCTTGCTTGATCAAACTTAAAACAGTTTTTAGTAGTAACAAAGATGTTAAGACGTTCTGTTTGAACCCTAATACATTGTAAACTCTGAAGATACCTGATTATTTACATTTGAAACTTGATATATAACAACATTTTCTATTCTGCAAGCACTTATAATGTATAAGTTAGTTTCATAATACTTTTGCTACCTTATATTAAGTACAATGTTAATATCCTGTTTACATTATTTAGGGTGCTCAAAATTGGATGCCAACATGCTTTGCTGTTAGTGATTACCAAACTGGAGAAGTGATTGACAGTAACCAATAGACAGGGTGAGATATCTCTTTTACTAAATAATTAAGTTTTGTAATCTTTGTATTTATAGTTTAGTAATCAGTGTAGAGTTATTGATAGGATGTAATCTTAATAGAAGTGATGGATAAGTGCTTTTAGGATTAGATAAAAAAAATATCCAAAATATTTACAATGTTTACATTTTTAGGAATAGAACAGGTAAAATTATATGTAATCACTAAGATTTAGCTTACATTAATCTTGTTTTCAAAAAAAAAAAAAAAAAAAAACTTACATTAATCTTCCATCTAATGTTTTACCTTAACAAATTACAATTGAAACTATATCTGTATGCTAACATATACTATTTGCATGGTCTTTTTCCATCATGTGATGTTCATCTTCTTCCCCTTTATGTGGCATCACTGTCTTCTTTAGTACCTATAAAAAAAAAAAAAAAAAAAAACAAAATCCATTCTGCAGAAGGGATATCACATTTTCCTTACTAATAACATGATTTAAAAACCAACTGAAACCAATTAAATCCACCATGAGTATCCAAAATGTTATGTCAATCTGTTTTAGGAACACCGCAAGTTTGTCCTCATAAAAGCATTCATAACAAAAAAAAAAAAGTCCAATAGAGCACATCCCAGTCATTTAACTCATTACACATCTGCTTATTTCTCAATTTTGACCACAGCTTCCTTGCTTTTTTTAGAACTTTGTGTGCTGGAAAATTCATCAATAGGGATCTCTTTACTGTTCCATTCTCAATGCTGTTCTCTGCATTCAGCCTCTGTGCAACAACTTGTAGAGGACTTTCAGCTTCATTTGCTTGGTCATTTTCCTACAAAATCAAAAGTTGAAACTATAAGTACTAAATAATCTGCATTTATAAAGTAATTGGTATAATATGATACTCGGTATCCCCAATTATACCTCTAGATCCCATAGATCCTCATCTATAAGCTCCAACTCCAACTTTGAACTGAGATCCCTGTCCCTAACTTGAATTAGCTCTGGTGCATGCTTTTCTACAATCTTTTCATCAGTGATGATCCTCATAACAGGGAAAGCATTAAGATAGTTTTGGAACTGTTCTTTGCGAACAGCAATTCGAAATAGCATATTCAATCCAATCAGAGTCTCAAGCTCCTTAGGTAGCCCCTTTCGGCCCTGCACGTAATTCATTTATTTTTTAAACTTTGTGTACATAGGAAATTTATACAATTGGTATATTAGTTAACAATTATATATACTTTATTACCTTAGGTACTATTCCTAAGTTAATATAATAGTTAAGAATTAAATACCATTTAGTACCTTAGTATGGGTATCCTTCAAATCATCTGCGCTAATACCAAGTAGATCAAGGCACTCCCTGTCCCAGAGAAGGAAAGGAGCATTCCCATCCAAGTCCACCACCCTAACTTTAACCTTGTACCTCAAGGTTCCATCACCCCAATTCCTGTCACATGTACTACACCACAGCCACTTTCCTTTCAGTTTCAGCTTTTTGTTGCAACCCTTTGTTCTACACGAAGCATAGTACCACTCAGGGTCATCAATGAACACAATCCTTGCTGCCACCCAAAAATCTCCAAACTGCACACACACATAGACAATTAGCAAGGTACATTATGAGCCCCAATCCATACTTGTGTGAGTATAAATTTACAAAATATTATGTTCATTGTGAAGGTCTGAGATGCATACTATGTATCAGTTGATCTATTTTTGCTAACAGAAAAGAACACATACTATGATTATATAACTAACAAAGATTAAGTTGTGTGTGCAGGTTTGGGTCAAACACAGAGTATGGGTTGCATAATAATAACCACAAAACTGTCCCTAGGATGTGTTCATGCTATTTACTCACTGAGATAAGCACACCCTAATAGATTCTCTAATTTGTTAGACTAATAACTTTGAATGATTTATATAGAGACTCCTATGTTCTGTGCTATTATATTTGTATCTAATGCCAAATATTAAATGCAGATTAAAAAAGTGGTGAAGTTGGCACTCACTGTGCATATTTGAGATGAATACAGAGCATGGGTGGCACAAACATATAACAATGGTCAACTATATAGAGTGAAAACATATATATTTACTCAAATAGGTAATGATCTAATGGTAATCATGGTAATCATTCAAATTATTATTTTCTTGGATTGTAATAGGTGGCACATTCTATCCTATGATTATATAACTAACAAAGATTGAGTTGTTTGTGCAGGTTTGGGTCAAAAACATATTATGGGTTGCATAATCATACTCACACAAATCTCACAGTTAGTGACTACAATGTTATGCCAAATATTAAATGCATATTAAAGAAGTGGTGAAGTTGGCACTCACTGTGCATATTTGAGATGAATACAGAGCATGGGTGGCACAAACATATAACAATGGTCAACTATATAGAGTGAAAACATATATATTTACTCAAATAGGTAATGATCCAATGGTAATCATTAAAATTATTATTCTCTTGGATTGTAATAGGTGGCACATTCTATCCTATGATTATATAACTAACAAAGATTGAGTTGTTTGTGCAGGTTTGGGTCAAAAACAGATTATGGGTTGCATAATGATACTCACACAAATCTCACAGTTAGTGACTACAATGTTATTTACTCACTGAGATAAGCACCCACTAACAGTCTCTCTAATTTGTTACTGTATTAACTTTTAATGAGTTACATAGGCCTGCTAAGTTCTATATTGCCTCTCATTGTGTAGGTTTGAGATGCCTACAGAGCATGGCCTGCACAAACATATAATAATGGACAATTATTGTTAGTAGGTTGTTAGAAGAGTTCTCCTAACTACTCATTTGAAATTTGAAATAAGTGGTTAGGAGTTTCCATTTGGCTTGTATATAAGCATAGGTTTCCTGTACTCAACTCAGACGGTATTCTCTATCTCAATATATATACACACTTCACTTTTAGAGTTCAACATGGTATCAGAGCCATAGATGTGGGTGGTGGGCTTTGGTCGGAACGAGGAGGCGCCGCCGCCGGGAGGAACGGAGCAGTCATCGGAAGGTTCACGCGTCGGCGCGTGCGCTGTTCTCCGACCTCGCCTCTGGTCGCCGCCGACGCGCTGGGTTCGTCTCCGTGCGCCCGACGCTCCTATATTAATATCTCCGTCCGGTGTTGAGGGGATTTTGAGTGGGCTGTTTTCCAGATCTGCTTTGCTGCGTGAGAAGTGAAGCTGGGTTGGGTTTGTCATCTGCATAGAAGTGAAGCTGCATTTCCAGGTTGGTTTTTTGTGTGTTTATTATGGCAGAAAATAGGACTATTACAGTGGTGTCAACACAATCTAAATTGGTTGATTTGGTGTTGGCACCTGATGGGTCCAATTTTGGGGAATGGAAGTTCTTAGTTGAAGTGAACTTGAAGGGTATGGGTAAAACTGGACATTTAACTGAAACATGTCCGGCGGACCCTACCAAAGCCCAAGTGTGGAAGAAAGATGATGACGCCCTGTTTTCACGTATAATAAATTGTATTAATAGGAAGATAATCCTATCTTTACAGCATTGTAAGAGTGCGAAAGAAGTGTGGGATTTAGTGAATAAGTGGTTTAGCGGGGCAAATAATTTGAGGAAGTTATATCAGTTATCCCAGGATGTTCATCGACCGTCTCAAAAAGGGCGGGACATCAGGGATTACTATTATGACTTCAAGAATATGAGTGAGGCATTGTGTGCTGCTATGCCGATTACTGATGAAGTGGATAAAATGAAAAAACAACGTGATCAGTTGCATATTTTTAGTTGGATTTCTGGGTTGGATAAGGAGTATGATGTTTTGAAATCACAATTATTGGGAAATAAGGAATTAGACTCGCTCGACCAAGTTTTTTCTATGGTTCAAAATGCGTCAGTGAACCTTGGTACTGATAGTACGTTGGAGAAACAAGTCTTTTTCTCACAGGGAGATAGTGGGACTGATAGTGCCAATAGTCGAGGAGGTCGGTCCCGAGGACGAGGTAGAGGGCGCGGAGGAGGTCGAGGGCAAAGGGCTTGCTATAATTGTGGTGATCCCGGTCATTTGCGTAACTAATGCCCACAGCTCTCCGACCATAGGAGATTTGCTAATTCTGCCTCTAGACCAGAAGAGACGGTTATGATAACTGAAGAAGAGTTGGCTTTGTTTAATCAGTTAAAGCTGTCTTCCGCTAGTCCAGGGTCATTGCCGTCTCCGTCAGCCACCTTTGTTCAAACAGGTAATCCTATTGCTTGTGTTTCCTCCTCGTCTCGACAGTGGGTCATTGATTCTGGAGCCAGTGACCATATGTCAGGTAATCTAAGTATGTTTTCTGAATATTGTTCTTTTAAATATGGTCCTACTGTTACCTTAGCAGATGGTTCGTCCACCTCTGTTTTAGGTAATGGAAGTGTGAATGTTAGTTCGTCGTTACCTCTCACGTCTGCGTTATATCTCCCAAAGTTCCCATTCAATTTATTGTCAATTAGTCAAATTACCCGGAACCTAAATTGTTGTGTCATGTTCTTCCCTGGATATTGTCTGTTTCAGGATCTGTTGACGAAGACGATTATTGGTAAAGGGAAGGAGGTCGGTGGGCTGTACGTGTTAGAACGGCTGTCCAAAGATCCTGAATGTGTTCCGGTTGGTTTGTTGGGAAATATGTCTCCGTTGCAGTTGCATTCCCGGTATGGTCACCCGCCTTTGTCTGTCTTAAAGAAGTTGTGTCCGGGGTTAGAATCTTTGTCTAGCTTGCAATGTGAGTCATGCGAGCTTGCTAAGCATTGTCGGGTACCATACCCCCCTAGAGTCAATAATAGAGTCGAGTTTTTATTTCAATTGGTTCACTCAGATATATGGGGTCCATGTCGAGTAGTATCGAAATCTGGGTTTAAATATTTTGTAACCTTTGTAGATGATTTCTCTAGACACACTTGGCTATATCTCATGATATCTAGAGATGAATTGTTTGGGATATTTTGTAATTTTTGTGCGATGGTCAAAACTCAGTTCAATAAAATGATACAGGTTTTACGGAGTGATAATGGGACTGAGTATTTTTCTCGTTCCTCCTCGAGTTATATGAGTCAGAATGGGCTGAAGAGGTCTTTATATGGGCTGAAGCAGTCTCCGCGTGCGTGGTTTGGGCGGTTTAGCAATGCGGTTGTTGAGTTTGGAATGCAGAGAAGTGCATATGATCATACTGTCTTTTACAAACATACTAACTATGGGTGTGTTTTGTTGATAGTATATGTAGATGATATTGTGATTACAGGCAGTGATGCAAGTGGGATTGAGGCACTCAAGTCCTTTCTCGGGTCTGAGTTTCATACTAAAGATCATGGGGTGTTGAAGTACTTTCTGGGAATTGAAGTTGCATGCTCTAAGAAGGGCATATTCCTCTCACAGAGGAAATATGTGTTGGACTTGCTCGGGGACACGGGGCTGCTTGGGTCAAAACCGTGTGATACGTCCATGGATCAAGGTGTGAAGTTGTTGGCAGGAGAAGGGGAGCCGTTTGAAGATCCGGAGAGGTACAGGAGGTTAGTGGGAAAACTTAATTATCTCACAATTACCCGTTCAGATATTGCATTTCCAGTGAGTGTGGTTAGTCAATTCATGAGTGCACCGACCCAGACTCACTGGAAAGCGGCGGTTCGGATTGTGAAATATTTGAAAGGTGCTCTTGGAAAAGGGATTCTTTATGCTAACCACGGGTATATGCGTGTTGAGGCGTTCTCCGATGCAGACTGGGCTGGTTCACCAGGTGACAGGAAGTCTATGACAGGTTATTGTGTGTTTGTAGGAGGCAACTTGGTCTCGTGGAAGAGTAAGAAGCAGAATGTCGTGTCGCGCTCAAGTGCTGAATCGAAATACCGGGCTATGGCTCATGTGGCAAGAGAAATAGTCTGGGTGCGTAACATTCTAAAAGAAGTGGGTGTTGAAGTGAAGTTACCGATAGATTTGTGGTGTGATAACTGTGCTTCCATACACATCGCAAATAATCCGGTCTTTCACAAGCGAACGAAGCATATTGAAGTTGACTGCCATTTTATACGGGAAAAAGTGGGGCAAGGACTAATATCACTTACACACGTTCGGAGCGGTGATCAACTGGCTGACATATTCACGAAAGGGTTGTGTAAGAATCGGGTTTCATTTATATGTAACAAGTTGGGCATGTTTGATATCTATGCTCCAACTTGAGGGGGAGTGTTAGTAGGTTGTTAGAAGAGTTCTCCTAACTACCCATTTGAAATTTGAAATAAGTGGTTAGGAGTTTCCCTTTGGCTTGTATATAAGCATAGGTTTCCTGTACTCAACTCAGACAGTATTCTCTATCTCAATATATATACACACTTCACTTTTAGAGTTCAACAATTATACATATTTAAAGACTATTTATTTACTCAATCAGGTAAGCATCCAATGATAGACTTCACAGTATTAGTCTATTACCTTTTAATGTGTAAAATATTATATTTGTTTCAAATCTCATGCATATTATTAACTGCAAATGACAAATCAAGCAGTTGGCATTGATATCTCAGAAGATTATCTACTCAATCAGGTAAGCATCCAATGGTAGACTTCACAGTATTAGTCTATTACCTTTTAATGTGTAAAATATTATATTTGTTTCAAATCTCATGCATATTATTAACTGCAGATTACAAATCAAGCAGTTGGCATTGATATCTCACAAGATTATTGCTGTAGAGATCACAGTATATCTCCTAAGGTAATATCTAATAGGTTTTAACTGTATATTACCTCCTTGTCTCTGTAGATTTCACTGATAGTACGGATTTCCATATCACCAGATAGGGAAACTGAATAGGAGCTACATTCCTTAAAACTTGATTGCGAAATAATACTGTGCATTGGAGTCTGTTCATGGCTGATACTATGAAATTAAAAATACACTAAGAATTAGGGAACAATTGACATAGGTAGTGCAAGAATAAGCATTGACTAACTTTTTTCTGAACTCCTCAAATGGTGGAGATTCCTGATTGAACAGCAGTTGTGTTACATCATAAGAGCTACAAATCTTAACATCCCCACCTTTAGACATGATGGTAGTACACATTAGACAAACCATTATTGGTAAATATTGAATTGGTAATATAAGTTAGGCACAAACTAACATTTTTAATCTACTTACTTTTTAAACACACCCTAGCCCTACAAAATTGGATCAACACCAATAATGGCTCTTGTGAAGTAGAATTGTAGAATGCCTCGATCTTGCTTACGTGTTCATCCCACAAAGTACACATCAATTGTATTCCACTACAAAATGTTAGATAAGAGATTAGAAGAACAGAAAACTTAAAAATATAATAGAAATAGAAAAGAACCGAATAAAAAAAAATACTCAGTGTCTTCAATGGTGAAGTCAATCAGCCTGGAGTTCTTCCCATTAATTAATTTCTCCTGTGGGCAGTGAATTTCAATAACTCGACCAATCACATCTACAAAATAGTGCATTAGAGTATAAAATAATAGTAACAATATCAATTAATTAGAAAATTAGATTGAAAGAGAGCAATTGATTACCAAAGAGGTGTTTCTCATCAAGGCCTTCATTAGACTTGATCTCTCTAAACGACTTCAGACGATACATTTTCATAGGAATTTTTGCATTCTTTAAATCCTTTACCATAGTCTGATAGTTAAATTTTATCATGTACTTCTGTGGGCTGGTTTTGTATGAGTAAAAATTGGTGATCACACAAAAATTCTTTATAGCGTGTACTGAACCTTCAATAAAATAGCTTAGGTACTTTTCCACATATTCTTTGGGTACATGAGCATGCAGGAAGGAACCCTGTGTATGTGTAAATAACATAAATAGGAACTGTCTAAATATATCTCATCAATATGTATAGATAACAAAAATAGGAACTGTAAAAATAAAAACCTGTGTACTAAACCCTAAACTGCACTGCATAATATTGATCTATTTGAATATATTTTTAAATAGCACTTACCTCTTCATCATGAAAAACGATTTATTGATCTAATCTTCGATGGATCACTTCTCTCAGGAATCTGATATGCTCTCACCACCCGTAGTCTAAGAGCCTGCCTGGTGTTCATTGGAGATATTTGGCTAGCAAGGATAAACATCTTGTTGTAGGGAAGAAGAATGAGAGAGGCCGGTGTAGCTTTTTTCTGTTAAATAACTTTGTGCTGTATATGTGCTGTATATATAAGGTCTGATGACCTTTCGTTATTTTTCCTTCGAAATAAATACCTAGAGAATATGTATGGGTTCGTGGGCTCAATGTTCCATATGGGGAACTGATGGAATCAAATACATTCTCTAATCCCATTGGATTGGAGAATGATCTTACGTAGATATTTTTAAAAATGTAGGTTTTCTATAAACTTTAGGTATTATACTGCATAAACCTTTCATTTTCCGAAGCAAATACAATAAATATTTCGGCTTTGTCAAAACGACGCCGTTGCTGTTGGGCGGGAGTTTTTTGCTCCTATTATTTTGATTTAATATATATAGAGATGTATGTAGAAAAGATAGAAAATTGTGATAAATAATTGAAGAATATACTCATAGTAATGAATAAATATGTAAGTAGATAATGGTGATAATGTGGTTATAGTGACATATAGAACAATCGATGATAGATGATTCTGTTTTCCATTTAGAAAACGGTTTTTAAAAAATTTTCAATTTTCTAGAAAACTGAAAAATTGTGCTGGTAATATGTAAGTAGATAATGGTGATAATGTGGTTATAGTGACATATAGAACAATCGATGATAGATGATTCTGTTTTCCATTTAGAAAACGGTTTTTAAAAATTTTTCAGTTTTCTAGAAAACTGAAAAATTGTGCTGGTAAAAATGTTTTCTATTTTCTATTCTTCAATTCTCCAATTAGTAAACGGGTCCTTCCATTCTTTGATTTATGAGGAAATTTTGGTAACAGTGTAACTTTAGCTCGCAAAAAAAAATAAAAATAAAAAATAAAAAATAAAAATTAAGGGAAATTGGTCAGATATGTCCTCGAACTTTACTTGAAAAGTCAATTAGGTCCCTAAACAT